ACCTTAAAAAAGGCTGGGCCCAGGGCTGGGGCAAGGAAGGACTTAGGGCATCTTGTTACACCAGAAAGTAAGAAATTCCCCAAGAATGATGAAAACATATCACAAGGACAGGGGAGCAGTTGGTAGGGGCGCCACAGGACAGATCTAGAGTCATTCAAGAATCAAAACAATTGCCGAAACCGGTTTGGCTCTGTGGATAGAGCGTCAGCCTGTGGACTGAAGGGTCCCGGGTTCGATTCCGGTGAAGGGCATGTACCTGGGTTGCGGGCACATTCCCGGTGGGAGATGTGCAGGAGGCAGCTGATTGATGTCTCTCATCGATGTTTCTAACTCTCTATCTCTCTCCCTTCCTCTCTGTAAAAAATCAATAAAATATATTTTTTAAAAAAAGAATCAAAACAATTAACGACAGAATGGAATGTAACTCCTTGAATAAAATAAGAATCTATGAGTTCAAACTAATGCAAATGAAAAACAAAGACAAGGGGGAAAGGAAGGGCTTTAGAGCAAAAAGCCAACGACTGAATATGGGAGAACGAATGAGGGTGCAACCACTGTGGGGTGAAAGTTTAATGAGAAACAAGACATTTTCAGTTCCAAAGTGTCTCCCCACAAATTACATATTAATTGCAAAGGAGAAGCAGTAATTGGACAGTGGAGAAAACTGGTGGATATAATGCAACCAAGTGAAAACTCAGTAATATTTGTACGCTGATGCCCTGTGTCTGCTGATATGATCTACTGAGAAGGGCATAACCTCCCTTCCATGGCTTTCCTTCCAATGACAACCTGATAATTAGACAAACCCAAAGTGAGGGCTCTTCTACAAAATAACTGCCTCTACCCTTCAAAATATGTTCAGGTCAAGAAAGAAAAAGAAAGGCTAACGAACTATTCCAAACTAAAGACGGCCAATTAGACATGAAAATCAAGTGGAATGTGTCCTCCTGGATTGGATACTGGACTGAGAAAAAAAATAGCTACAAAAGATATTATTGAGACAATGGACAAATTTGCATATGGACTAGAAAATGGTATTATATCAAGGTGAAATTTCCAGATTTTGATAAGTGTACTGTATTTTATTATAAGAGAATGCTCTTCTTAGGAAATACGTTCTGAAGTGGATAAGGGTAAATGAACACAATGTTGGCAATTAATTCTCACGTGGTTCAGAAAACCATTATGCATACATTGAAAACTGAGTGCGCAATCGGTAAATCTAAGTAAACGGTATAACTATATGGCATTTCCTTGTACCAATTTTGTAATTCTTCTTGAAGTTTGAATTCATATCAATATTAAAAGTGATAAAGAGCCCTAATCGGTTTGGCTCAGTGGATAGAACGCCGGCCTGTGGACTGAAGGGTCCCAGGTTTGATTCCAGTTAAGGGCAAGTACCTTGGTTGCGGGCACATCCCCAGTGGGGGGTGTGCAGGAGGCAGCTGATCGATGTTTCTCTCTCATCGATGTTTCTAACTCTATCCCTCTCCCTTCCTCTCTGTAAAATGTCAATAAAATGTATTTTTTTTAAAAAGTGATAAACAAAACATTCTAGTTCTTTCATTCATAAATGTAGCCATTCAGTTAACAGTTAAGATTCTACTATTCGTCAGACAGTGGGCACAGACGAGCAGAACACAGACCCCCACCCTTGAGGACATCCCAGTCTTGTTCTATTATTTCTATAACAAGAATTATCCTGAACATAAACACATATTGCCCACCCACTTCAACATTCTGACCCAAAATGGCAAATGACATCGATGGGTATCTTGCGGCAGGAAATGGCTGCTCTCCATGACACCAACTTTAAAAACTTGGGGGCAAATCCCTCATGCATCCTTACTTGTCCTTAACACCCTATTACACGCCTGTCCTCCGCTGTAGTATGTCTATCACCAGGCTGGTGTCTATGCCGGCCCTGAAACAAAGCCGGGCTGTGTGGGTGTGGAGAGGCCGCCGTCTCCAGTTGCTGGAATGTCAGGCCCACGATCACCGGCTTCTCATGGGAAAAAGGCAAACCCTGCCTTCAGGTCCCGACCAAGAAAATCAAAAACAGTGAGCAGCCGTACCTGGATTAGTCATGAGTGACAGCCACGCAGCCTGCAACTATTAGTTGCATCTGGGCCGGAAGGAATCCCGGTGGAGGGATTTAGGCTGCAGCGCTGCTATTTGCTGGGAATTTGGAAAATTAAACACGGATCCCCTGGAAGCAGAATGCGCCCGTGCAGATCACAGGACCTGCAGGCAGTTGCAGCCCACGGTCTATATGTGAGATCTAAAAAAAGACGGTGTGAATAAAGAATAAAGAGGTCAATGCTCCCATCTGAACTCGACAAAACATCAGTGACATCCACGGAGCTCAACATACTCACATCTTGGAGCTGCCAAGCTAAATAATTTAATATCTTTTTGAACAGAAGAGTCATTCCCCCCCCAGGACATGGTTTTCAAAATATTAAATGTCCTGTTAGTTTAGACCTCTTGCAAGCAGCTGCATTCCTTTTTGGAAACTGGAGAATGATGGTCTGCCTCTTCTATAATTGGAGAAAAATTCCAGCCACATTAGGTATTGAGCCTTCAAATCGCATACCTCCGGAGCTTAAAAACTGGGGTCCTCTTAACCGTCTGCAAAACTTGAAACAGGCAAAACTCTCCCAAGGGTAGAAATAAAAGGGAGGAAGCATTTCTCGAGGCAAAATTAAGCCAGCGATCCCTTTACATTTCGTTTCTTTAAGCATGGAAAACACCGAGCAGGAGAATGAGATTAACTGGGAAAGGCAGAGCGCCCTGGCATAATGAATGAAGACTTAGGCCTTGACTTAAGAAGTATGGTGCCGTGGCTCTATCTGCTGGTGCACAGTAACGACTTCCATGTGCTAACCCCGTAAAGGTTAAGACTCATTATTAGCTAAAATATGCTGCTTTCTAAACAGTTCAGTGTGTCGGTTACTTCCCCGTATATCCTTCTTAATGAGCATAATGCACTTTTCCATTGGGTTAGAAGATTTAGGAACGTAACTTTCAGGGCTTTTGAATATTAACTCATTACTTAAATCTGCCATTGCTAACAGGTCTTCTGCAATTCCTTGCCCTTGAGAAAAACATAAATACACATACACACGCACACACACAGAAAAACATAAATACACATACACACACACATAAATACGCTGTGGGACTCGTGTCCTGTTTCTTTTCCCCACTTCCCTGTCTACGATGAGGAGAGGGCGCAGGAGGGATGGTAGGAGGAAAGGCTAGGGAAGCCAGTGAGGGGGTCTGATGAGGCTCCTTGTCATACAAGGAGACCCTCCCGACTGGTACACTAACCCCCTTACTCAGGAAGGTCCTCTGGCACAGAAGCAAGAATTGGTTCACTGTTTTCAAGTTGTTGTTTTGCTTTGTTTTTAGTAGTAGCTCCCTAGTTATAAGGGGAAGGGGGTGGGCAGCGACCCCTCTCTTCTTAGGAAAGTTTTTTTTAATATATGTTTTTGATTATAGAGAGAGAGGAAGAGAGAGGGAGAGATAGAAAGTATGTTTTTGATTATAGAGAGAGAGATAGAAACATCAATGATGAGAGAGAAACATCGATTGGCAGCCTCCTGCACGCCCCCTACTGGGAATCGAGTCTGCAACCAGGGCTTGTACCCTGGCCAGGAATGGAACCTGCAGCCTCTTGGTGCACGGGACGGCACTTAAACCAACTGAGCCACCCTGGCCAGGTGTGGATGGCATTCTAAAGTAAAACTCACCCTTCCTCGGGCCCTATCCATTTCCTCAGTGCACTTACCACTATCTGTATAGGAACACACACACTACATGTGTGCATACGTATGTGGATGTATATATATATATATATACATATGTGTGTAGATGTATTTATGTGTGTGTGTGTGTGTGTGTGTGTGTGTATTTATGCTTTTCTCAAGGGCAAGGACCTCTAGTGTCATGTTCACCACTGTACACCCAGGGCACATGCTAGGTACTCAGTTTATTTTAGATAAATATGTATATGGTGCCCTAACCGGTTTGGTTCAGTGGATAGAGTATATATATTGCTGTGTTGGCTAAGCTCCACACACTAAGTAAGCAGGATTGACTAGCCGTATTTTTTTATGTATGTGGGGGCGGTGAGGAGGTAAGGGGTCTGTTTGGTAATTGGGTCTGATTACTCCCCAGTGGAATCCACACCCTGGAAAATGGGCGTTTTATTTTTATGCCCAGAGTTATCAGGGCAGAGATGAAAGCAGCACTCTTTTCAAAGGGATGTTTTTCTCCTCTAGACTTTTGCACATGGTAGGACGTGTGAAGAATGTGCTTCTTGGGTATCTTCTTTTCCTAGAGGAGTTTGAAATTTTTCAGGCTGTCAGGATGACTCATGTGAATGATGATTTTTAGTTAAGAAAACAACTTGCGCTCTTTGGCCAACTCGAAAAAAACTCCCCAAAGTCCATGTTACTGTTTTGTTATCGTTGACATGCCTGCCTTCAAAGGCTCCAGAGAAACCCCAAATGCTGTCAATCTGGAATTTTCGCTAATGAATTTATAACTCATTCCAAATTCATTGGTTTCTCACTAGACAACTGGTTTCTAAAATATTGGACGCTTTGTTTCCAAGTTGGCTGGGCTGTATCATACAGAAACGGAAAAGAAATTACAATGAGAAATATCTACTTTGGTTGAAATGGAGCTGGCCATATGGAATGCATAATGTTGTTTCTCTAAAACCAGTAACATTTTGCAAAACAAAGCTGTTACTCAAATAGTAAAGTACAACACAATACGGCAATAGCTGATGAATTACCTGGGAATTCAATGCCTTTAGAATAAATACTATGGTACAAATCTCCCATGCTCTCCGAGTCTAGATAGCAGAGTGGTGAGATCTTCCCAAGTCTAAAGAGGTCCCCTCATACCAACGAGGCAACTGGTGAAGAGACCCAGCAAGTCATCTGGGAGGGAGGGTAGTTACAGCCCATCGATCAATGGTTCTTAACCTTGGAGAAAGCGTGAAATCCTCCGAAAGCAGGGGGAGAACTATGGAACCTTCCCCTCATCCCATTTTGTGATCAGTGTCAGGGGTTCTTCAGGTCTCTGAAGGGCATTCTAAGGTCTCAGATGAAGAGGCCCGGAGGCAGAGATTCAAGCCTACGAAGGGAAAGGAAAGGATGGCCTCTGAGCCCGCCAAACAAAATAACAGCAATTGGGAAATACTTAAAGCTAATAAACACTTGGGGGAAAAGAGAGTTAAAAGAGAGAAAGGGTGGGAAGATTAGAAAACTAAAGAGAAAAGGGAGCCCTGACCAGTTTGGCTCAGTGGCTAGAGCGTCGGCCTGCGGACTGAAGGGTCCCAGGGTCGATTCCAGTTACGGGCATGTACCTTGGTTGCAGGCACATCCCCAGTAGGGGGTGTGCAGGAGGCAGCTGATCGATGTTTCTCTCTCATCGATGTTTCTAACTCTCTATCCCTCATCGATGTTTCTAACTCTCTATCCCTCATCGATGTTTCTAACTCTCTATCCCTCATCGATGTTTCTAACTCTCTATCCCTCATCGATGTTTCTAACTCTCTATCCCTCATCGATGTTTCTAACTCTCTCTCCCTCTCCCTTCCTCCCTGTAAAAAATCAATAAAATATATTTAAAAAAAAGAGAGAGAAGGGAAAATAAAAGCAAGCAGAGGAGTGAAGGAAGACGGAGGGATCGCACACGAGGGGGGAAGGTCTGCCCTCACTGACCTTGACCGCCAGCGTTTACTCAGTGCTGCCGTGTGCTCATGATGTGCTCGGCATTTTTCATGTAATTAAAGCTGACACATCTCCGATGTCTAGGACCTATCTTATGTGTTCCACAGCTCAAGAAACCGGCACAGAAAGACTGAGTCTGCTGCTCAGGAGGTTAGCCAGTGACGGGGCTGAGATTTAAACAGAGGCCTGCAAAAAAAGTAAATAAATAAAAATAAACAGAGACCCGCTGTTTGATCCCAACACCGGCCCCGGAGTCCTTACAGCCATGCCCCTCAACCGCCTGTCTCCCTGACTCGGAGACACAGCTCTAGACCGCTCATATCTGTACTCTTCCTGAAGACAATGTTCTAATAATGAAAAGTGATGCTGCATAGAACACATTAGTTATCTGTCTTAACAGACACTGAACCAGAATCTAGATTATTCTCCTCGAGATCTGAAAGGCTCATGATTTTATTTTCCAGTTTTGCTGAGATGGAACTGACACATAACATTGTGTGTCATGATTTTCAATCCAACGGAAATGGTACTTTTATGTATGGTTTTAATTTCTGGAAATTCCATTCAAAAGATATCATATGCTTTAAAATAGTAACAAAAATGTATTAGAAATATGGCCTGTATGCCTGGCCGGTGTGGTTCAGTGGTTGAGCGTTGACTCATGAACCAGGAGGTCACGGTTTGATTCCTGGTCAGGGCACATGCCTGGGTTGCAGGCTCAATCCCCAGTCGGGGGCATGCAGGAGGCAGCTGGTTGATGACTGTCTCTCATCATTGATGCTTCTAGCTCTCTCTCCCTATCCCTTCCTCTCTGAAAGCAATAAAAACATGTATTAAAAATTAGGTTAAAATTATAAAAAAAGAAGTATGACCTGTAACAGTCCACTGGCTTTCACCCAGATCACGCACCGAGGGTCTCTGAATTGCGTGGCTTCCCTGCATGGTACGTGTTTGTCGGACTGGCCGCCAGCTGTCTCACTTTTCTTGTTTGTAACAATACTGTTTTGTTAAAGCTGCCTTCCCCAATCACGGATACTTTTTCAGTGACATTGATCTTGAAAGGTTTATGCTCCACAGATTTGATCTATTGCATCCCTGCATGGTTTTGATTTAGAGACCCTTCTTGGTATGAACACTAGGTTTACAAGTAACTTCATTCTTCTCAGAATTCCAGTAATTGGTGTTTTTCACATGGTTACCAAGCGAAAAATAGAACGCATGCTTCAAAGCCGGGGTGCCCCCTGACAATGTGTTTCTCTTTTATAAGTGAGTGGTTGAAATCATCGTGTCACAGGTGTGGAACATATAGAGAACAGATGCCAGGGTTTTAAACTGCACTGATTTACCTTATGAAAATACAAATTAATTACATGATTTGAGACACAGAACTAGAGGAGGCAGTGAGAGAAAACAACATTAGCACGAGGTCCGAAACTGCCATCGTTTCGTCAATATGTAGCGTGTATGCAGTGCCTCTTCAGGATCCAACGTGGAATACGGAGTTAACATCTTGCAAAGCAGAAAACATGCAAAAGAAGCATTCCAAAAATGTGGCCTTTTGCCTTCTTTCTGATGGGTATCACATAAGAATTTGAGGGTAGGAGGTGGGGGGACAAATAAGTACTTTGAAATATAGTTCCCAGGAAGTTAGCATAAAAACACTATTGAAGTATTCTCATCATCCCGTCCATATGTTTAGGAAAACGTCTCAGTGAATGTGTGCTGTTCTGATATAAATATTTCCACAGCAGCAGAAAACAACTAAAAACATTGGTGTATGTAAACATATGTCTTTTTCACACTGTTTATATTTATTTCTTTATATGTCTGTTTCCCCATTAGATATGAGCTGTTCAGGTGCTCAAGGTAGAAGTTGTGTTCTGCTCTATGCTCAGTGACTGGCACACGGCGGTGCTCAATAAATACTTGTTAAATGAAAAATAAAGCTTGTTAAATGAAATAAGACATAATCTCTGCCCATAAAGAGGCTGTAATCTTGAACACCTACAATTCTAAATAACTGTCATCTAATCTTGGTTGCCTTTCTTCACATAATTTATCTATACATAAAGAATATCAGCTCTTGCCATTCTATAAGCACGGTATAAAAATTAGGAGGTCTAGCCCTAGCTGGTTTGGCTCAGTGGATAGAGTGTCAGCCTGATGAAGGGTCCCAAGTTAGATTCTGGTCAAGGGCACATGCCCAGGTTGCAGGCTCAATCTCCAGTAGGGGGCGTGCAGGAAGCAGCTGATCAGTGATTCGCTCTCATCACTAATGTTACTCTCTCCCTCTCCCTTCCTCCCTGAAATCAATAAAAATATATTTTACAAAAATAAAATAAATAAGGATAATACAATCTTACTTGCATGAAAAGTATGATGGTGAGATGTCTGCATATCTAGGCAAAGAATGAAAGAATACCCTTCTACGTGGTTATGCTGTGATGGAAATAGGAGGGAAGAAGAGTGGAAACCATTTTGGTGGCATCATGTATTTCTTTTTACAAGATAAATCTTCTATATAGCAGATATATCGTAGCTTTATCACAAAACTATAATATTGTTAAGCTATAAAAAAAAATACCAGAATGGAGACTATATAACAACATAGAAAATTGGTTCCAGTGGGTCGATAAAAAGAAGTGTTTTCACTGAGAATCTCGCTATGCCACAACACGTGTGCACAGGGACAAGGACTAGATGCCCCGCTGTCACATGAGTCAAGAGTGTGAGGACAGAGCTCTTCTCCATTCATCATAAATCTTCTCCTTGTCTTATATTCCAGTCCCGGCCACAGACCATACTATTTCCTGGAACCATAAGCCTTAGCCTCATCTTTGCTCCCCATCCAATTCATGCTCACTCCCCATCCAATTTATTCTGTCTCTAAAATGCCATCAAATCTCTCCTCTTCCCTGCTCTCCTAGTTCGGGTTATTATCAACTCACACCATCTTTTTACTCTTGGTTGCAATCTTTACATTGTCACTAAATGTTTGTCCACGTACAAACATTTTCAACGGGTTTCTACTTATACACACACACACACACACCATACTCAATATGCACCAAAAAAAATCTCAAAATGGATTATAGACATAAAAGTAAAAGAAAGTGTAAAATTTCTAAAAAAACAAATCTAGGATGAAATCTTTAAGATCTTAACTAGGCTGGGCAAAGATTTCTTAGACAAGGTACAAAAAGCATGAACCATGTAAGAATAACTGATAAACTAAATATCAAAATAAAAATGTATGCCCTCCCAAAACACCACCAAGAAAATGAAAAGGCAAGCCATACACTGGAGGAAATATCCAAAATACACAGAGCCACCAAAGGACTTCTATCCAGAACATATAAAGAACTCTTAAAATTCAATAACAAGAAGACAATCCAATTAAAAAATGGGCAAAAGACTTGAATATTGAATTTGAATTTTTGTCATCTGGCTATTCCCGTCCTTCTTTATATTCAAAACAACTCTTTCATGGTCTACAATTAAAATTAAGCAACTGCTGTTCACACTGGGGAGTTATTCTAAACTCTGTTTTATAATACCTTAAACTACTCACTTAGAAATACAATTATCGATACAAAACCCATTGTAATTGTTTCATTCTGTTGCTCTGCGTCATGGCACGGTGCCACATAATGTAGTTTTCTGCATTCTGAAAAACTCAATGTCTTACTTAGAAACAGCTTTGAAAATTGGCTCATGGCCTACTTGCAACTGATACCGTAGCTTAAATACCTTTCCAGCAAAGTTACACTAACTTCAAAATATTCTGGGATCAGCCATTAAAATGTTTTTGTTTCGGTTACAACACTAATGAGCACCAAATGTTAGAATTTGTTTTAACGACCTAATACATGAAGGATTTTCTTAAAAGGAGAGGCTGGATCAGCCATCCATTATAGAGCGAAAGGTAGATTAGCTGGTACCGATATAGATAATACTTGGAAGATTTAATGTACTTAAGTGTAGAATCCAGCATTAAAAAAGTTAAATTCAGAAAGCCTGCTCAATTAGCCATCTTACTTTTTCTCTATAAAAACACCAAACTCCTGGCTTCTAAGCGACACTTGAAAGCCTCCTCCCTTTCATTCCATGCAGAAACTGCTTAGCCCTCACCTTGACTTCCCCACTCCTGTAAAATGGGTGGTAATACTATACGTGGCTGTATTTCCTTCTGCTGGGAACGAACATCAAGTATCAAAGGAAGCAACAGCAGTTAGAGGAAATCTCAACATACCAGGCCTACTAATCCCGGTAAGGACCACTGACATGAGATCTGGGGAAACAAATGTGTGCATGCTGTTTTAAACACGCAAAAACAGAGCAGCGAATGGGCTACTCAGGCTATATTCCGAGATGAGTGTTTAGCATGAGAAAAGGTAGCACTTTAAGGACAACTGCAGTTCCCAGGGTGTCTTTCCCAGTCCCAAGACCACACCCCAAGGAGGGTGCATCTGCCATTGTCTTCGGAGGCAGCCATGATGGTGACACCATGTATCTGCTTTTGCTGCGGACTCTTCTGTGGGGCAGCACCCACGTTCAGACCTCCCCGACATCTATCCATCTCGGTTGCCACAACCACCACTAATCATCTCATCTTTCCTTCCCAGCATGGTTTCGTTTTTCTCTTCTTTTTTGGTTGCTCTTGTGATTTGACACTTCTTGGCCTTTGTGGTGTGTGTGTGTGTGTGTCATCTTCTTCATCCATTCATCCATCAGTGAACACTTAGGCTGTTTCCATATCTTGGCTATTGTAAATAATGCCACAGTAAACATAGGGGTGCATATGTCTTTTCGATTAATGTCTTTGTTTTCAGAAAAATACCCAGAAGTGGAATTACTAGATTCTATCGTAGTCCTAGTTTTCATTTTTTGAAGCACCTCCATACTGTTTTTCATAGTGCCTGAATCAATTTCCATTCCCACCAACACTGCACAAGTGTTCCCGTTCCTCCACACCTCGTCCACATTTGCTATTTCCTGTCTTTTTGATAACAGCCATCCTAACAGATATGAAGTGCTACATCATTTAGCTTTGGATCTGCGCTTCCCTGATGATTAATGACATGAAGCGTCTTCTTGCGTACCAGTTGGCCATCTGTAAGTCATCTTTAGAAAAATGTATTCAGATCCCCTGCCCCTTTTTTCATCAGATTGTTTTTTGCTATTGGCTTGT